AGAAGAACTCAACAAAAGAAGACCAGATGTATATACAATGACTGAATGCCAAGTGTGCAAAGATAAAGTCAAAGAAACACAGATGCATCTAGCAGCATGCAAAGGACAAAGAAACTTATAAAAAAGAATACAAAAAGTGACTATCGTAACAGCCTGGAAGGAACTTAGTGAAGAGGAAAAAATCTAAGTTCCTCCATATGTATTATACATAACACTCTTTGAAAAAACAGAAACAGAAGAAGTAAGAATGAGAGAGGCTCTAATTAAAGACCTAATTCCAAAAGAAATGCAAGAAAGACTACAACAGCTCCTAAACACAAAGTTAAGACAGAAGTTGCAAGTATAATAGCAAATACGGCCTGGAATACATTTTATGAACAAGTATGAAGAGTCTGATGTGAGAAGATTATTGAATGAGAGAGGAAAGTAGGAATAACAGGTAGATTAAAAAGGGAAAAAAAAAAGAAGAAGACAAGAATATGCAAAGGAAAAAAGGCAAATTAGCAAAAGATAGAAGAAAAGAAAGAAAGAACAAGAAAAAAAGAAGAACAAATTAGAACAGAAACACAGAAGACAATTTTGGGACTTGTCGTAGAAGGGAGAAGACCCTTCTATTATGGACTTTAAGTAGTTAGACAAGTAGCTTACTTCTGCTTGAAGTAATGCGGCAGGTTGCACTTAGGTACCTCTAAGGTGGCCGGGTGATGCTAGACTTAGGTGTTAAGAATATTTATATAATTGCAAATGTAATTTCAAAATCTTAATAAAGTACTAGCATAACTGCTTAAGGAAAAAAAATAAAATAAAAATCTTATTTTCATTTTCTAGCAGAATGACATTTGAACAAATAAGGTGATGATTCAGTTTGTTTGGCAACAGTGACTCAGCCAATTGTGTAGAAGGCTGTTGTGTGGATGTAGGTATAGGCATAGGAGGTTGTTGCATAGGAGGTTAGCTACTTGAAGATATAATATTAAACTGTTCTGTTGTCAAAGAAGGGTCCAAATGTCTGAACTAATGGCTTTAGAATTAAATGATTATATTTCAGTACTTTTGTATGCATTGCAAATATCTAATGGCATATAGGTTTTGAGAAAAGCTAAACCAAAAGCTCTTATGAAGATATGTTTCATTATCACCTTGCCATTATTGTTGTTTTTATATTTGGCACATTTCTTATCATATTTATTTTTTAATTTAGCAAAAGGAATTTCAGAGAGCTGTAAAACATGCATTGTATGAGGTGAAAGCACATAAAGAAGAATTTTATTTTTGTGATAGAAATCAACACTTGTATAATTAATATAGCTTTTGTGACTATTAAGTATTAGTAAGACTGGTTGAGTAGATAGGATCGAATTGTTAAAATAGGTAAGGTATATTTAGAAAAGGTCTTCACGCATATACTTAATACTTGTAAAACCCATCACAGTTCCTAAAGGTGCACCTTCTAACAAATCAGAAATTGCATGAACACTTTTATAAATTATCAAGAGTAAAATGTATGATCAGATAGCCAAAATCATAAGGGTAACAGAAATATGTTTATGTGAATTTTTATATGCAACTTTATGAACTTGGCATGTACCTTTTTTCAATATAACTTTTTCTAATTTAGATATAAAAACATATCCAGTTTTGTCTATGTTCCAAATCTGCATTGCAATAAGTGAGTATTCATTAATTATTTGTTTAAGTTTATCGAAATGGTCTTTAATAATAACTACATTTGCTCTTTGTGCACAAGCTTCAGATAATTCTTGGGAGACACAAAATGATAACTTAGGATGATCTTTTAAAAAATGGGCTCACCAGTCTTGACCTGATCTATTATCACTAAATGGATATGGTTGTTTGTTGCTATACATAATTTCTATTATATAATAATTTATACCAGACCAAGTTAGACCAAACCCAAGCTTTTGTATATTAATGCAATATCCAACAAGTTGGGTTTCTTCATGTTTAGTTAGAATAATAAGTAGACCTCGATGATTAGAAAGACTATTATTTTCTATTGCATGATGAAGAGTAGTTCTAGAAATTTCATATTCTTTTACTAATCTATTTATGCTAAGACATTTGATGTTAGTGGGATAATTCTTTAACTTGTTAAGTGCTGCAAGAATTTTTTTATGCTGATCATTTTTGAGTTCATGTTTATTATTTTAAGTCTTTGGCATTTTTGTATTATTTACTAATATTAATGAAATAAAGTAATGTATAGTACATATAAAAATTTTATTGTTAAATATTTATAAATAATGTAAAAAAATGAAATAATTATTAATTTAATTGACTTGCTTTAAAATTCAAATTTGTGAATGAAACTTTTAATTGCTATAACATGATTATAATATAACAAATATAATTTATGATTTTTTTTATACTGTAACAGTAATAGTATTACTAACTTCAAAAAAGAAGCATAATAAAATGCATTAAAGTTAAATTTTAAGTTTAATTAGCATGTGTACATCATTTTTATTTATCATTTTCTTTTTTAAATCACAATTAGCTAAAATTTTTATACCTATTTTATAAGTATACATATTTGTTTATTTTTATATATAAATACTATTAATAATAATTTATTTAAATTGGTTTAAAATTTAAAATTATATAGAATTTTTACTATGAATAACTTTATTAATGCACAATGGTCAATTTATTTGATATAAAACTAGTTTTAATTATGTCATGATTAGCTTATATTAACTTTAAAAATAAAGTATTTATATATTTTCTTTAAATGACAATATCTCAAGATATAGAAATCAGAATTAAATGATTTTTATACTATTCAATTCATCTTAATGAGATGAATTGAATAGTATAAAAAATATCTAATTCTAATTACAGAATTATAAAATTTCACAATTGGCCACAATAGATACATGGCCACAATACTTACATCTCTCTTATATATATATTTTTTTGTCTTAAGCAGTTATGCTAGTACTTTATTAAGATTCTTGAAACTAAATACATATATAATTACATAGAATTTCCTAATATCTAAGTCTAGCATTACTTAGTTACCCTAATGATACTTAAGTGCAACTTGCTGCACTATCTTAGTTAAAGATAAACTGCTTATCTAACTACTTAAAGTTATACTAAAAGGGTCTTCACTCTTCTGTAACAAGCATATTAATTGTCTTCTAAGCTTATTTTTTCTTTCACCCTGTTTTGCCTATTTCTTTTTTATTCTTTTTCTCTATTTTTTTTCATTTTCTTTTATTATCTTATTTTTTTTTTTGTTAAGTTTTCTTCTATCTAAATACTTTTTTTATTTTACTTGTTATATTAACTTCTTTTTCTTACTTTTGTATCTTTTCATATCAGACTTTTTATATTTGATTATAGAAAATATTCTATACTATTTTTGTTACTGTGTCAAGACATTTCTTTATTGTTTGCTTATTTAGCAGCTTATCAAGTCTTTTCTCTATGTTTACTATAGTTAGTCCTTTTATTAGCATCTTTCTATTTATAACTTCTTCTGCTTTTTTTTTTTTTTTTTTTTTTTTTAAGAGAGGTCTTTCCTCTAGTCCTTTATTTCAGTAATATATAATTAAGTAC